TATTCTAGTCTATTCTATATTCTATTCTTTTCTATTCTAAAATGGGGTAAAATTCAATCAACCATTGTCTTGCTGAGCAGCAGAAATGTTGGGCTCAGTTGCAGTTGTAAGTTGAGGACCACCTGTATTTTACATCATTGCATCTCTGATCAAAGTGCAGTGTGTGCCAGCCTACCAATGAACTCCGGGTCAGGGATGGACTCCTGTAACTTCCCCGTAATGAGCTGCTTCAGGTACAAGATGCTGCAACCCCCCAGCGGGCACTCGCCGAGCTCACTTTCTGGCAGCCGCAAGATGGATTTGGGAGCCAGGGGCTGGTCGGCTAGCTTCACGGCGATGTAACACTCCGAGAGAGACATGGCGGGGCTGGAGCAGTTTGATTCTCTGAGGTCCCAATCTGAACTCCAAGCAGAGTCTGGAAAAGAAACCGTGTCCCATCTATCATGTCTCTCTCCTATTTATCTATCCATCCATCCATCTCTCCTATCTATCTGTCTGTCTGTCTATCATCTATCAATCTATCTTTATCATGTCTATTTATCTATCCACCCATCCACCTCTCCTATCTATCTACCTATCATGTCTCTCTCCTATTTATCTATGCATCCATCTCACCTATCTATCTGTCTGTCTATCATCTATCTATCTATCATCTATCTAATCTATCATCTATCTTTATCATGTCTATTTATCTATCTATCCATCCATCCATCTCTCCTATCTGTCTATCATCCATCTATCTATCTATCTATCTATCTATCTATCTATCTATCTATCTATCTATCTATCTATCTATATCATGTCTATTTATCTATCTATCCATCCATCCATCTCTATCTCTCTAGCTACCTATCATGTCTCTCTCCTATTAATCTATCCATCCATCTCTCCTATGTCTGTCTATCTATTTAATTCTAATCTATCTATTATCAATCTCTCTCTTTCTCCCATCTATAATCTATTAGTCTATCATTATCTATCTTTTATCTCTCCATCTATTTTCTATCTCTATGTATCTGTCATATATCTGTCATCTATCTATCTTCTATTTCTCTGTGTCTGATCTATCTATCTATCTATCTATCTATCTATCTATATCCATCTGTCTGTTGCTCTCCCTCCCCCATCTGTCTATCATCCCTCTATCTATCTACAGCATCCATCCATCTATATCATCCATCTACCATCTAGGGTCGGTCGGTCGGTCGGTCGGTCGTCTGTCTGTCTATCTGTCTGTCTGTCTGTCTGTAGCATCCATCTCCTACCTATCCCAAAGGTCCTTCCTTCAAGAACCATGACCTGGATTCTCATTCATTCATTCTCTCTCTCTCTCTCTCTCTGTCTCTCTCTCTGTCTCTCCCCCCCCCCCATCTCAAAACAGCTCCAATTCTAGGCGCCCAGGCCAGGCCAGGTTCTCCCAAACCGAACAGAAGGCCGGTTGGCACAAGGCAGCCTACCTCGCAGGGTTGTTAGGAGGAGAATAGGCATGAATGGGGGAGCCCACCGGAGCTTCTTGGGGAAGAGGATTCAGGGTAAGCCTTGCAGGAAAATAGAGTTGAACCAACGACAGGGTCTCCCCGAGCCCCCTCCCTCCCCCCCAAAAATAAGGCCACACTGGTCAGCTCTACCCATTGGCCATCACTGCCTTTCTTTAATAAGAGTGGCCCAGGTGAGTCATTGGCCCCGCAGATTCAATGCTATGCTTTCTGAGGGGCGGGGAAAGGGGGGGGCACCCCCCCCCCGACCCCCCCCATCTCCCCCCCCTCCCCTCCTCCCTCCTCCCGCCCCCTCACCGACTACCTTTATTCCTCCTTACCTGGCTGTTTACGACCAGCTGGCTGCTCCAACCGGAAACGCTTGCCCGAGCCCGCGCGAGGCATGCCGGGGGTTGTAGGCGGCCGGAACGAGTCCTCTCACATCCCCTGCTAAGCCAAGCCGCGCCGGGTGGGAAAAGGAAGAGCCCAGCAAAACGAGGCGGCGAAACCTCGGCGGAAGCTCCGCCCTCCGCGTTAAAGAAAGGGATGCTGGGAACTACAGTCCGGAAGGATTCCCGGGCGGCATTGTGGCGTCGCGGCCTTCCGCGTCCTCGCCAATCAAGAGACAGAGGGACGGGGGAGGCGGCCAATGGGCGCGCGGGATTCAAAAGTGCTACAGCAAACCAGAGGCATCCTTTATTATGGTTTTCACACTCCAACCTTTGGAGGGCAAAGAAATGTGGAAATGTATATTTATTCCCTATACAGGAGGATTACATACCCCTTTTGGGATAGGGGGGACTATTCCTTTTATTGCCATTAATTTTAAAAACAGCCAGTTTTACTTATATTGGCAACTAACAGAAACAAAGGTAGAAATTTCGGACATGGGATGCCAGACCCAGAAAAATATGCCATACTTCACTTCCTCCTCCAAAGAAAGATTGAAGGCAAACGAGGTCCAGGCAGAATAAGATGGTTTCAAAATCCAAGTTTGGACAAAACTCAGCTGCACTTTTTCATGTGGCTGTTGATAAAATAGGATCGCCAATAGGATCGCCAATGTCCGATGGTAGATATGGCAGAAGAAGAAGAAACAGACCAAGTCACAAAACGTTATATTTTTTTTAATTACACAAGTATTACAAAGGTACTTTAAGATCAGTCCCTTGGAGGATCATGACTGAACCAATTATTTGTTCATTAAATTTACATGGTTGCCCATCTTAGACATAGTGGCTCTGGGAAGCTTACAAGTATTAAAAATCCACAGTACACAAATCCATATTGCACGACTATGCCAAACTTGTAGATGCAGAAAGGATGATTTGTTATCTATCATCAAAAATCTCTTCTTTGGCTTTCTTTTCTTTATTGAAAAAATTAGTGACATATAACTACAGAAAATAGAATGAAGACTAACTATAAATATAACAGGGCTAATAAAATCAGAAAGGAATATACAGTGCAGTAATTAAATGAGAGATATTCGAAGAAACTAAAAGATATCTTCATAAAGCTCAATCCATTCATTTATTTATTTAGACCCTTATGGCTCCATTTTCTCAATTTGGGTATAGGGTTTTTTTTAAATGCCATATTGAAAGAATACATTTAGATACCTAATACTCTAATTAGTTAGCTAGTTTATTTTATTGTCATTGCACCTTGTACAATGAAATCAAATACCATTTTCAGTGCACATCATGACCATGAAAATAAACACAAACATACATCCTTCACACTCCACATGTTGAATTGAAAACCCTTGATATTGCATTAATATTGTACTATACAGTAGAATCCAACAGAGCTACTGCCCTGGAACAGAAGCTGTTTTTCAGCCTATTTGTCCTTGTTTTTATTATTATCCTGTACCCTCTGCCAGATAGTAATAGTTCAGAAAAAGGAGGTTCCCAGGATGAGATGGATCTTTAAGAATGTTTTGAACTTTCTTAAGGCAGCGGGAGCTTTAAAGCTCTTCCAGAGAGAGGAGAAGGCAACCCATGATCCTCTGGGCAATGTTGTTAACCCTCTGGAGTGCTGTCCTATCTGCCGCTGTGCAACTGGCAAACCATACAGATAATAATAGAGAATTAATAATAAGGTGCCTTAGAGAACTGAATATAGATAACAGGAAAAAAGCAGATATTCTAGCTCTAGCAATATTGGTTAAAGATTCAGATATTGATGTTACAAGTATGATGATTACTCTCTTTTTTTAAAAAGTTTCCATCCTTACAGCCTGGGAAGCATAGAGTCAATGTTCCAAGTGATTTACAAACTGGGACCACTTAAAACAACCATTACTTCGCAGGTTGCCAATTCCATAAAAAAGGGTAGACCTCATTTCAGAGGCAGAAATGATACAGGGTTTCCTGCCTGAGCAAAGGGATTGGGCTAGAAGACCTCTAAGGTCCCTTCCAACTTGGTTATTCTGTTATTCTGCTTCTAATACAACTTCGACCTGTGGCAGAAGCAGCAAAAAAAAAAAAACAACCCAAAGCCCTCAAAAGAATTTCCGGTGTACAAGAGCCGGGCCAAATTCCTCATACTCCTGTTTGCTGATGCACATATGCTGAAAGTGAGGAAGGGAAGCTAAGAGGGAGCCCCCAACCCACGCTGAGCACGTGCGATTTGGGGGGGCAATGATGTTGACCTCTGCATTTGTGAAAGCCAGTGCCACCACCTCGGGCTGCAACCTTTCGGCAAAGCCAGGGAACATGGAGGTGCCGCCTGCCAGCACGACATTTTTAAACATTGTGCTGTAGAGATCCCGGTCACACTTCATTACAGCATTAAAGACAGTCTCGTGGACGCCACAACATTCTTTACCCACATATGGGGCGTAGAAGAGGCCTTCTGGGCACCTGAAACGCTCGGTGTCAATGGTGATCACTTGCCCGTCGGGTAGCTCATAGTGTTTCTCTAAAGAAGAGGGTGTAGCGGTGGCCATTTCTTTCTCAAAGTCCGGGGCCACGTAGCAAAACTTCTCCTTGATGTCCTCCACAATCTCCCTCTCTTCTGGTTTGATGTGGTAGCCTCTTTGATTCAGCATCTTCAGAAGGAAGTCGGTCAGGTCTTCGCCACACAGATTCATGCGGAAGAGAGCACTGGAGACAGCATGGCCTTCGTAGACGGGGACAGGATCCATCCGGTCGTTCTTTATATCCAGAACTACTCCAGTGGTGCGGCCGGAAGCATAGAGGGAGAGGACGGCTTGGATAGCCAAGTAGAAGGCTGACACGTTGAAGCTCTCGAACATAATCTGGGCCATCTTCTCCCGGTGGCTTTTAATGTTCAAGGGACGCTCAGTCAGCAAGACTGGATGATCCTCCGGGCCCACCTGCAACTCGTTGTAGAAGACGTGGTGCCAAATCTTCTCCATGTCATCCCAGTTCATAATAAAGCCACTTTCAATGGGGTGCCTCAAGGTCAAGAGGTCTCTCCTGCTCTGAGCATCACTTCCTACATAGTAGGCCTTTCCGTCGGTGTCTTCCGCCACACTCTGCAGCTTGGGCCTCCCTATGATGGCAGGAAGTACTATTCTGGGCAGGTCCTCTCCAGCAACTCCTGCTCTGCAGTTTCTGGTGCCATTGTCCACCACAAGTGCTACGATCTCTTGGTTGGCCATTGGTAGGTATGCCTAGGAGGAAACCAAACAGAGACATTAAGAATACGCTTACTATCTCTATGGATTCTGTATCCTGCAGATTCAGTATATGAGGGGCTCTCTGAGCCTGTTTTCTTGCAGACGTTTCATTATCCAAACTAGGTAATATCAACAGTCCTAGAAAGGACGCAGGTTTGAGGAGGAGGGAGAGGAGGATTGTGGGGTCCTTGGGGCTCTCTGAGCTTGATTGATTTCTTTCAGATGTTTCATTACCCAACCACATCATGTCATGTCATCAGTGCTAGAAGGGAATGGCTTCATTTTTGTAATTGATATTTGTTTACATAATACATAGCATCCCCCATGATCGGACTGTGGGATACACACACACATTTGTTTTCTGAAGTTTTTGTGGGTATTTGTATGTGGATTTTGGTTATTCGGGTTTTCTCCCGCGTAAAATTGGAAATATTTTGGTGACGTTTCAACGAAATCTCATTCGTCATCTTCAGGCTTGTGTCTTTAGCTGTGTGCTCCTTGGAGCCTGAAAATGACGAATGAGATTTCGTCGAAACGTCGCCAAAATACTTCCAATTTAACACGGGAGAAAACCCAAATAACCAAAGATAGATAGATAGATAGGTAGGTAGGTAGGTAGGTAGGTAGGTAGGTAGGTAGATAGATAGATAGATAGATAGATAGATAGATAGATAGATAGATAGATAGATAGATAGATAGATCTATCTATCTATCTATCTATCTATCTATCTATCTATCTATCTATCTATACACACACACACACACATTTATATAACATTAATAATTTAATTATATATAATTATATATATGAATATATACAGAATCATTTCTTTTCTTCAGGAGGTGCTGGCTGGTGATATGCCAGCAGAGCTGAGTTAGGCATTTTCCAAATTTTTGACACCACAAGCCAAAATGTTGGCCAGCACTGACTTAAAGTAACCTATCTCTTTTTCTACCATTCCCTTATTTCATATTCAAGTGACACAAAAACAGAGTTAAGAGCTGAATAACGTGCACTTTTAAGAGTCCAGGGCTGGAAGAAACTGATTTAACTGATTGAGTACAGTCGTTAGCCAGAAGGTCCAAAGGAACATGCAATTCCTGAATACTTTTTCTGCAGCAGTGAAAAACATATGCTAAATTTTGGTGGCGTTGTGTTGGATGATTCTGGCTGGGGACTTTCTCGTAGAAAAATCTTCTGGATGACCATGAAAAAGAACTTCCCTAAACTACCTCCTATTTTAGGAAAACGTTAGTTGGGCTACAAGGTCTTCCCTAAGGCTCGTTCAGTTCTCATTTTGGTCTGCTTCCCTTTTAGCTCTGCTTCTCATCTGACTTGTTCTTCGTTCCATATTCTTGTTTCTGGATCATTTTAGAAGATGCTGTTCACAAGGGCAGAGTTCAAACCTACAACATTTTGAATGTAGAGGGGATGTTCTACCTCCAAAGCCAGCAGCTTCTCAGCCAGCTTTGACAGGAAACTTACCATTTCTTGGTCTTTTCATCTAAATCCCTCTTACAACTCACCTTCGCTCAATCCACTACTGGCAACTGCATTCAAACCAATATGGGCAGAACATTTACGGAAAGTGATGGTTTAAAATCAAGTCCATACTTACCCCAAGATAGGGTGGTTAGCTCGGCAATTAATTCCACACTTGTCTCAACAAAGATCAAATCCTTTTCTTCCCTTTGATTTTTTCCCCACTGGTATTTATCAGTTTCCTGCTCCTTTTGCCCTTTGATCCTATACTTATCCATGAACAACTGTGAATATGGGCCACTTGTGCAATAAGTAAATGTCATTAAAACATAAGCTATTTTGTAAGGAAAGAACTGCAGTATAACCAAATAAGGCTATAACAGGAGCCTTTATCAGGATTATATATCTTTGGATGTATTCCAGAAATCCTTCTGTATATATTTCAAGAACATTTCCTGGTGTTTACTTAGTTTCAGAGACTGGCATACTATAAACACTGGGATGTCATAAAGAATTGATTGTTAAACTGAGAGAGGGAGAGGGAGGGAGGGAGAGAAGGAGAAAGAAAGAAAGAGAGAGAGAGAGAGAGAGAGAGAGAGAGAGAGAGAGAGGAAGGAAGGAAGGAAGGAAGGAAGGAAGGAAGGAAGGAAGGAAGGAAGGAAGAAAGAAAGAAAGAAAGAAAGAAAGAAAGAAAGAAAGAAAGAAAGAAAGAAAGAAAGAGAAAGGGAAGGAAGGAAGGAAGGAAGAAAAAAGAAGGAAGGAAGGAAGGAAGGAAGGAAGGAAGGAAGGAAGGAAGGAAGGTTATAGATAGACAGACGAGAGAGAGAGATGTGATAAGATGGAGTAAGATTGATTTCCTTATGGACATAAATAAAACATTAAAACCAAGTGTTTGCAGTTTCTCAAAAACAGAAAGGGGTTGAATTCTCACCTGATCTGTGCAGGACGAATGGCTTTGTTTTCCTAACCTTATTCTCCACCGTCCTTTCCATATTGGAAATATATTTTTATTCTATTTTCCTAAGCTCATAAGATTGCAAATCATTACAGCTGATTTGCAAACTAATTGCCGTGGGAAGCAAATGCAACAATACATATAAGTAAGATTAAACTATAATTGAAGAAATGTTGGTCTGAATGCATTGGCTAAAAAATTCAGTCGAGCACATAGTATTTCTAAGCAAACTACTTAAATTGAGTTTCCACCAAACTTGGACACCTGGGCTGCTATGCGCATGCGCCATGTTCAGGAATACCTTGTTCTTTCCTTACGTAATTACAATATTCTCCCGCCAGGAGGCATTTATATTTCCTCCGCACTCCCCATTGGCTGTCCACTGTAGAAGACCCGCCCTTTTCTGGAACGGAAGAATACGGCCCCGATTTTGCTCCACCCTTTCTTTTGGGCCTGCCGCTTTGCGGGTTGCTATAGTAACCGTTCAAAGACTGGTTTCCCTTGCGTTACTCCTGCTGTGGTTTTTCTTTCCCCTCCCCTCGTTTCCCCCTCCTAGTTCTGTCTCACTTTTATTCCTCCTATGATGCAAACGAGAGATTAAGCAATATAAAATAAATACAAAACTAGACTTCCGTCCTGAACAATTTTCCTCCTCCCTGGAGGGAAAATACAACGTCGCTCTATCTTTGACATCTCTATGGAAAAAGGGCATGGAGACTATAAGGGATAGAGTGGCACTACCTTTGCCTGTACAGTATAGTCCTGTAAACATATTTCGATATCCAGGGCATTCAAACTTGATGGATTTTTTTTGGAAAATAAAAAGGGTAGTTTTACTCCCCTAAATCTGAATGGCTACTTGGAAAGCTGTAAATACGGGGCAGTAACTCTATTGAAGTCTACTGTACAGTGCAATATTAATGCTATATCAGGGGTTTTCAATTCAATATATAGAACAGAGGTCTCCAAACTTGACCGCTTTAAGACTTGTGGGCTTCAACTCCCAGAATTCCTGAGCTAACATGATTGGAGGAGGAATTCTGGGAGTTGAGGTCCACAAGTCTTGAAGCTGTCAAGTTTGAAGATCCCTGGTATAGAATGTGAAGGATGTGTGTTTGTGTTTATTTTCAAAGTCATAATGTATGCTGAAGGTGGTATTTAATTTTGTTGTTCGAGGGGCAATGACAATAAAGTGGACCAGGGGTCCCCAAACTTGGGGACGTCTGGACTTCAACTCCCAGAATTCATGTTGGCTGGGGATTTCTGGGAGTTGAAGTCCACAAGCCTTAAAGTTGCCAAGTTTGGAGATCTCTGAAGTAAACTAAATGTAATGCTTCATTTTAGTTGTCAGCAGAAAGGGAGGTGGGGAAGCAGCGCATTCCTTAAAAGCTTCAGATAATCGCTTTGGCAACCAAAGTTTCTGGCTGTGGAAAATTATTACTGGAGAGTAAGACTGATGACTCTTGGCTATGGTTGTGTCTCACTGGTGAATATATGTCCAGGGGTGGGGGTGGGGAAGACCAGGTCAAGGGTGAAATGAATGATGTGTCAGAGTCAGCTGCAATCGGGAAACACCGACATGTCAACTCCTAATAAATCAATCTTTTTCACTCTGAGCGATGCGGCTCGAGACTTATGATTTGAATGGGGCTGCATGTCGGAGTTCTGACACTAAACTAAAATGAAAATCAGCCATTATAAATAAGAGAATAAAGATCAATCACTGCTTTGAATAAAAGTACAGGTAGTCCTCAACTTACAACCACAACTGAGTCCAAAATTTCTGTTGCTAAGTGAGACATTTGTTTAAGTGCGTTTTGCCCCCATATTATGACCTGTCTTGCCACAGTGGTTAAATGAACCTGGCTTCCCCATTGACTTATGCTTGTTCAGGTCACAAAGAGTGGATCACGTGACCATGGGACACTGCCACTGTCATAAATGTGAGTCAGTTACTAAGTGGCTGAGTTTTTGATCACGTGACCATGGGGATCTGCAATGGTCAAAGGTGTGAAAAATAGCCATAAGTCACTTTTTTCAGTGCTGTTGTAACTTCAAACCAAAGCTTCCAAGACTGTAATTACGCACATACTTTTTTTAAAAAAACAAGTCTTGTTTTATTGAAACACTGGGAATTATTTTCATTCCCAGCCAGCAATGAATCTCAAGAACGAGTCTGAACCGACTGAACGACTTTGCTTCCTGCAAAGGTTTCATCACCTTTGCCTGTCCTTGATATCTTATGGGAGGGGCAATCACCTCCCAGCCTTATTCTTGAATCGCCCCTTTTGTTTCAGCTGCTCTCACCTTCTAGCAGCTCTGTGCATACGCACACTGGGAACAGGCTCCCCTTGTTCCTTGGCCTCGCTACTTGGCCTGCAAAATTGCTCTATCTAGAATGAAGCATAGATGAATGTAACAAATTACATATATGGTTTCTGTTCCTTAAAAAAAATTACAATATGTGCAATTATATACATATAAATATACATGTGTGTATGCTCCTGGGTGTTCTCTGAGCTTGTTTCCTTGCAGCTACAAATATTCTCTATATGGCTATTGTATATCTGTGACTATATGCCTTTTTATATATTTTTGTGGCTTTCCGTATTTTCTCCCCCCTATTAAAATAATAATGATTGTGGAATTTGGGGCATGCTTTCCTCTCTCTTCTCTGCATTTAATTCAGGGTGAAAAAAATAACCTTTTTTTTTTTAAAAAAAGGCATAAATAAAATCCACTCTCCCAGCCAAAAAACCGCTGAACTTTCTGCACCCCCATACCGGAAGTGGCGAACGGGCCCCGCCTCCTCCTCCTCCTCCTTTCCTCTGGCCGGGCCCGCTCAGGGACGCCCCTTCCGGCGCGTGGCCCATAGAGTCCCCTCCTGCGGCCCCTCTTTCCGGCCCGGTGGGGGAGGGGGCTGGGGGCGCGGCTGAGGCGGCTGTTGCGGGCGGGCGCTGCGCCTGTGGCGAAGGAGACCCCGCCGGAGGAGGAGGAGGAGGAGGAAGAGGAGGAGGTAAGGGGTGGGGTGGGGGCTGCAGGGCAGGCGCCCCCCCTCGAGCGGCGGGGCCGGGCTGGGAAGCCCCCCCTCCCCCGGGGACCCCCCCTTTCTCCCGGGGGGGGGGCTCTGCCCGGAGCTTTCTTTCGGGGAGGGCGCGGAGCCGCCGGGCGGGGAAGTCCCGGGGGCGCTTGGTGGGGAGGGGGGGGTCGCGGGGGTCCCTCTCCTGCCGCTTTTTCCCCAAGCTGGCGCCCGCCGGAGGGGTTGCAATGGGCTCCCGGGCTCCCCTCCCCCACCCTCTTCAGCCCCCTCCCCTCCCCCCGGCCTCATCCTCGCCAAGCAAGTGGGGAAGATGATGGGAGTTGTAGTCCAGAGCCCTAAATAGCCCCCAGGTTTGGCGGGGGTGGGGTGATCGGCTGTCCCCCAAGCTGGCGCCCGCCGGAGGGGTTGCTCCCCTCCCCCCAGCCTCCGCATGCCGACCCCCCACCCCCAAACCTTGCCAAGCAAGGGGGCAAGGGGATGGGAGTTGTAGTCCAGACAGCCCCAGGTTTGGGGGATGGGAGGGGGAGTGGTGATCAGCTGTTTCCAACCTGGCGCTACCTGGACTACAACTCCCATCCCCTTGCCCCCTTGCTTGGAGAGGATGGGGGGGGGCTGCTGGGGGAGGGGAGGGAAGAGCCAGCAATAGCCCCAGGTTTGGCGGGGTGTGGGGAGGTGATCAGCTGTCCCCCAAGCTGGCGCCCACTGGAAGGGTTGCAAAGGGCTCTTGCTGCCCCCAGCCGGCCCAGTTCTTGCCAAGCCAGAGGGCAAGGTGATGGGAATTGTAGTCCAGAGCCCTAGATAGCTGCAGGTTGTGTTGGGGGGTGGTGGTTCTGCTGCTGCGATCCCCAACCTGGCACCCACCAGAGGTCTTGCAATGGGCTCCCGTCTTCCCTCCCATCCTCCACCTTCAGCACGCCCCCCCCCCATCCTTGTTAAGCAAGTGAGGAAGGGGTGATGGGAGTTCTAGTCCGGAGCCCTAGATAGTCCCAGATTTGGGGAGTGGGTGTATGTGCGTGATCAGCTGTCCCCAAGCTGGTGCCCACCAGAGGGGTTGCCATGGACTCCCCACCCTCAGCGCGCCCTTCCCATCCTTGCCAAGCAAATGGGCAAGATGATGGGAGTTGTAGTCCCGAGCCTTAGACAGCCCCACCTATGGGGCAAGGGGTCTGCGGTGTCCCTGACCTGGCAGAGGTGTTGAAAATGGGTAGCTGTGCTCCATGCCGGACCCCTCTCTTTGCGACGATGGGAAGATGATGGGAGTTGTAGTTCAGAGCACTGGACATCTCCAGGATTGTGGTGGTGGGAGTTCTGCAGCTATCCCCAACCTGGTGCCCTGGGAGTTACTGCAATGGATTCTCAGGTGGGCTGGGCTGAGAGGTTGGGACCGGCCCAAAGTCACCCAGCCAGCTTTCATGCCTATGGCAGGACTAGAACTCCCAGCCTCCTGGTGGTTGGCTCAAAGTCACCCAACTGGCTTTCATGCCTATGGTGGGACTAGAACTCCCAGCCTCCTGGTGATTAATTCAAAGTCACCCAACCGGCTTTCATGGCTAAGGCAGGACTAGAACTCCCAGCTTTCTGGTAAATGATCCAAAGTCACCCAGCCGACTTTTGTGCATAAGGCAGCACTAGAACTCCCCATCTCCCAGTTTCTAACCTGGTGCCTTAATCGCTGCACCAAACTTAATGGGCCACAATTGGCGAGGACCGCAAACGTTGCACCTCCTTTGTACGATGCTTTTACTCATGGTTTATGTAGTGAAGGCCATTGCCCTCTGATCCTACCGAGTCTTTGGGGGAGTAAACCTTGAGTTCTGCTTGAGTAAGCACTGTATGACTCTTCTCTTCAGGGTGCTGCTAATGAAAGTCCCTTTCAGTTGCCAATGGTATAAAACAGAGAAGAAAATATTCTTCGATCCATCAGAACTTTTATCAACCTGCTATAATGAAAGAAAGGGCGTCTATCGAAAAGCTGTGGATTGTCAATGCAAAGGCTGGCACTAGCCAAGCCTCCAAGTTCCATGTTGCTCTGCCTGCCAAGCATGGCTATGAGTTGAAAGTATTTGTTGCCTTTTCTGTTTTGAATTATTAGCTGCTGCTTTGAGTTATGTCCATACTTAGAATCTAGGGGCTAATTTGGGCCTTTGAGATTTTTTCAAAGCCAGCCTGTATCATGTCACTCAGCTGTGGGTTATATCATTATGCACAAAGAAAGCATTAGGGGATAAATTATCTTAATCCTATTAATATGCAAATGTACCTCTTGCACAACTGAGGTTTCCAGGCCAGGAAGCTGACTTTAGGCTGCCTGCAGCCGAATGAGAAGTTGTTTAAAAGTGTTTGTAAGATTTTCTTTGGAAATTATCTGTTGGCGATATATTTGAAACTTGCATCCTGAGTGCAGCAATGTAGCTTTTATGTAGGTGGTTTTATGTGCAGGCAGTCCTCACTTAATGACTGGTGACTTAGCAATCCGGCAAAGTTGCCACAGCCTGCAACCCAAATATAATTACAACCAGATTTTGATGGTTGCAATTTGGGAGTGTGTGTGTGAAATTGCAACCATCAGAACTTCAAAACCGGGTCATAACTACGGTGGGGGTGGCTGTTGCAACTTTGCACGATGTTGCATTTTAGGCACTTGGTAATCAGCTTGTATTTGCAGTCGCTTCATGTCTTGTGGTTTTAAGTGTGAGGACCAGTTGTAAGTGATTTTTCCCTGACACCATCATAACTTCAAACGGTCATTAAGCAAGCAGTCGATAAGTCAAAGACTAATTGTAAATTAAGCACGTTTCAAATAGTGTTAGCATTTTAGTTGCTACCATTTGGCCGTTGGATCCTTTAGTTCCTGCATGCATGCATTGAATTGTCTTTGTAGTAAAAAAAGACAACTGTAAATTGATAACAAGTCTCAGTGTTAACAGGGTTGCTGATGACCTTCCACTTTGGTTTCGCAGAACATTAAAGAGAGTCACGGGAAATTCTTGATGATTCGGTCTTTCTTAAAATAGCAAGAGGGGTTGTTTTATTGCTGGTGGAGACGGGCATATTTAATTTTAGCAAAACACCCTATTGCTCTTTTGGAGGGTCTGTTTGGCTAAAGTTATGCATCTTATCTCGGTGAAGCTAAGTGCTTCTGTGCCGGCAGAGGAGTAGCTAAAAACAAAACAAAAGGAATTGTTCTTCCATTCTCCCTTCGCAATTTGGTTTCTCACCACACCAAGAAATTCTCTTCCAATAATGATTCCCCCCCCCCCCCATGTATTTCCTCCCTTTAATGATTGTGTGGCTGTTGCCTTTCATCTCTTGACCATGGCTCATTCATTATTTACTGTCCCCTTATTCATTATCTCCCTGTAGATGGCACTTCACCGGACCTCCGTGCCCTGCGGTGTTTCTAAATTACAAAAAAATTGGACTTCGGGAAATAAAATAAATTCGTCTGAAAGGCAGAAATGACACACATAACAAACTGGGTGCCCTAAAGCACAGCCATGGCAGAGGGTGGGAATATTACGCCTTATATTGAAACTTAAATAGTAGGTGCAATTCATCAACTCTTGTTATTACATCTGAGAGTCACAATTGCTTTCTTGGCTGTGACGGACAGACTCTTGAAGTCATGCTTGCCAGCTGCAAAGAGTCTTGTTGCTTCTTGCCAAGAAGAGCCGCAAAATTTACCGTAGGTAGTCCTTGACTTAAAACCATTCATTTATTGTCTGAAGTTACAAAGGCACTGGGTGGGGAGACGGGGTGGGGGAAGTGACTTACGGCTATTTTTCACATGACCATTGCAAGCCTCCCTGTTATCATGTGATTAAAATTCAGGTGCTTGGCAAACGGACTCATATTTATGACAGTTGCAGAGATCCCCTTTTTCCGACCACCTGAGACCAGCAAAGTCAATGAGGAAGCCAGATTCGTTTTAACAACCATCTTAGTAACTGAACACGCTGCGGTGATTTCCCCCAGAAGGTTGTAACACAGGACAAAACTCACTTCACTGTCTCGTTAGCCGTGGAAACTTTGGGGGTCAATTGTGGTCGTGAAGGCAAGGACTTTCTATTCCCCCCCCCCCCCTCTTCTCGGCTTGGTCTCTACATCCCAGTGGATGAACGAAACGGCTTTTGTCAGTATTAGAATTAGTTGCCAAGGGAGATGGGACTCCCTTTCTGGATCCCTGTGGCTGGCCCAGGGTGGGCTAAATGCCACCGAGACCCTCTCTGCCTGCTTCATTCTGTGTGCGCCCGCCCACCCTCTCTCCTTCAGAGACATTTGGCCTCTCATTGTAGTTCTGGGAAACCTGTTGCTGAGGTAGCCATGGGAAGGAAACGGAGATTAAAGACAGACACACCAAAGATGGATGAGGCAGGGAGGGAGATTCTCATCACCTTGGTTTGCAGACCACCAAGCATTGGAAGCTGCCTCGTGTGGGTATTGATGGCGAGAGGATGCACGTTCAACGTTTCTTTATTTCTCAAGGAGAATATTTGTAGCTCAGGCTTGAAATGAAAGGGGTCCTTGCAGACGTTTCATGACCCAACTAGGTAACACCATCAGTCTTAGAAGAGAGGTGGGTTTTTGGAGAGGAGGAAGTGAAA